CTCTCCCTGGCTCTTGCTTTCTTTTAAAACAGATTTATTCCTGGTCATTACCAGATCGGACACAGAAGAGGTTATTGCTTCATTCTGCCCGAGGTGGATTTGATTTGAAGTCCCACGAGGAATATTATGTCACCAAACTATTTCCTCTCTATAACAGAATAAAAAAGGGGGGGTGGGAGAGGGAGAGGCAACATGCAGTGCGACAGAGCTTGTGATCGGAGGGCACCGCAGCGAGCCCTAGCAGGCAGCTTGACAGAAACGCTCTTCATCCTCATCCCCGCTACGACCATTGCGGGGATCTCGGGGATGAAGTCAGGAGGCAGCGTGACAAACTCCTGGGATGAGATGCAGGAAATTCCTAGTGCTGTGCCGGAGACTGGCCGTGCCGTGCATCCATCACATGATGCTCAGGAGCATCTGATGCAGGGCTGGGGATGGGCAGCGTGGTGGAAAGCCTCACATGATGCTCAGGAGGTTTCGCCTGCGTTTTCGCCGGGCTAAGCCTGCAGCGGGGAAGTGGGGAGGGACTGAAGAACCTCTCCTCTGAGGGCTCATCCCTCGCCTTTGCCTCTGGCAAAATCAGATCACCCAGTTCAGTGAGAGATAAAACCAAAAAGTCTTTTATGGTGGGACGCTTTTCTCGCTGTAGTGGCCAGCACGAGCCCCTTGAGAAACCGGGACAGGGAAACTCTCAGCCTCTCCCCATCGCCTCCTCGCAGTGCTTACCATTATGTTCATTTTGCTGCATCTTTCGGCAAGTTGCTCCGTCTCCGTTGGCTTTGCAAAGTGCCTGGCTCTGGGCTTCGCTTGGTGTCTTGGAACTCTGTGATGAAAACAGAAGTCTAGGAAAATCATTGCAACGACCTGTGTGGATGCAATGTTTAAGGAGCGATGAAGTCGAGAAAAGCTGGGTCCTAGCGGCAACGCTGAGTTGGTCAGATCTTCTCCATGTGCTGTTTTCTGTCCCTTTTTTTGAGCGTAGCAGAATATATTACTGCTTATTAAATGTGCCCTTCCAGACAGGCCGCACACTTACCCAATTCACGTTGCTCTTCGAGGCTTAAGGAAACCATCTCAGCCTAAAAATCTAGTGACTTCACGTCCCAGTAACTGACTCAAGCAGCCTCACTGAAGAAATGAGGCCACTCAGGTGCACAAGGCTGGGGATGGATGGCTGGTTTTCGTCGCCGGGCGTAGGAAAGCTGGTAATGATCTCCCTCTGCTCCGCAGAAGGATGGGCTGCGTTCGGGAGCATCAGGATGCACCTGCCTCCTGGCAGCCTTCGGCCGAGTCGCTTCCCTGCATCTCGGTGCTCAGTCAGGAGAAGACTCCTGCCATCTCCTCGCCTCCTCCTTGCAGCTGGACGTGTATATTTTGGACCATTTTATTCGTTGTTGTAGGCAAGGCTTTGTGCAGCGAGGATTTGCTATGCCAAACGGGGGTAGAAGGAGCAAGAGGGGCAAGAGGCTTGTGCCAGCGCTGCTGGTAGCTGGCGTTTCTTCAGAAGTGCTGCAGATGTGATGGGAATGGGAACGTAAATGCTTCATCCTTGCAAACTTAGTGCTTTGTTTATAATCCAGGCAGACATTCATACTGCACCTGCTGCCTGGATCATCTTTGTATGAGCACAGATTGTGAAATCAAGGAAATAAAAATTACTTGCTCTTTCTAAGATGACTTGCTACATCAGTGAGCTTCCACCCACCCGCCCCCTTACCAACAAGAAGTAGCTGCCGTGGATTAAGTTAGCATCAGTTTCTCCTGAGGGCTGCAAGATCTGGGCTCTCATAATTACCATTTTGTCTAGAAAATTGTCTGCGCAGCCATCTCAACGGTTTCGGGGTACAGACATCACGGGGATAAAATGAACGATGCTGCCTCTTCTCCTGCTGTCCAGCTCTGCCTCTCGATCCGAAATCTCTGGTTTGAGCCTGCCCATCCTTGCCCAGTTGGTGTTACCCAGCCCAGCTCAAGGCTTCTGTGTGCAGCAAACCCTGACAGCGTTTTGCTGTGCCATGAGGGTGATGGTAAGCTGGCAAAGGGAGCAAGCCCTCTCCACTACCACTGACTTTGCCCTCTCTGCAGCGCCGAGGAGCGGAGCGTGGACCAGAGCTGATACCAGTGGTGAGGAAACAAGGAGGGAAGGAGACATCCCTTAAGCTACTGTGCTTCGGTCCGTAGAAAGCTTTCCTAAGGACAAAGAGTACTTCGAGGTGGCTGTTTCAGGACACAGAAGATAAGCATCTGCAGGGACTTGTGAGAATGCCCTTAGTGGAATCACCCCAAAAAACTCCTCAGATCGTCTTAAATCAGATGCTTGCCAGTAAGTCATACCTTGGGCACCTCCAGCCTGCAAAAGAGGTTTCTCTTCATAGGAGAGAGGTTGTGGGATCTTGGCTGCCCAAAGGTGGAGAAAGGAAGTTAGGAATGTCACCTCTGCTTGAAAATTCAAGAGAGGGAGATGTCCCTCTGGTCTCACCACTCTGAGCCGTGTCTTTATGATGTGCCAGCATAAAAAGGTATGAAGGAGCAAACGCAAAAAGGAATTATTCTGCTTCTTTCGCTCGCAGATGAGAGCTCTTCCAGGCCAGCAGCAAACCCAAAGATAAGAGCAGAGGGAAGATGTGTATCAGCATATGAGCAGAGTAAACAGAAGTGTCTCTGGGGAGAGGCCATTACAGGAGTTCATTCATCCCAAATGAGTAAGCAGAGACTCACAATACAGCTCATTGCAAGGGCTGACCTGACTCAGGGAATCGACATGTTACCGGTTTTGAGCCCTAAACCAAAACTGAACACCAGACAATACCTCTTTTGAGGCTGTTTCTTATCTTCCAAAGATGCTTTTTATCTCATGCTGTGGAAAACCAAGCACCCACTTTGTAATCCCAGTTATAAGGAGGTTGGAGGTGGGAGCATCAGCGCTAGTCAAGCCTCATACCCAGATGTCACTTACAGGAGGCTGTCAGCTCCCGCTCCGTCGAGAGGAGTACGGCGTTACTGCCGATGGTCCTGGGCAGGGCTGTCAGCCCAGCCTGTTGTGAAGGTGTGCGAGACTTCCCGCTGAAAGGGCCTGGCTGTAATTGTGTGCAATTTTGCTGCTTTCCAAACCATTCAGGCTGAAATTTTGAAGACCAGACCTTTGCTTCAGGCAGAAGAGATCTTTATTTAATTTTGACGAGCAGTTTCTGCTAAGAATGATCAATCTCGATTTTCAAGAAGAAGGAGGAGGAGGACAAATTTTACTTTCAAGCTTAAAAAAGCTCTTGTGAACTTTCAGAGAACCCATACAGTCCCCACGCTTAGGAGCACCAGCTTCCAGCTTTTTTAGTTTGCTGTAGCGTGTCAAAAATAAGCCCAATCCCAGCAACCCAAGTGTGACCCAATTATGAGCCTTGGGGTGAAAAAATAATATCGATGTCAGTGGATACTTGTTAGAGTTTGGCAGCTGAAACGTGGTCAGCATTGAGCATCTGCCCAAGGGCTGTTGGGGACCATGAGTAAGGTTTTTCCTCTGGTTCTGGTTGCCACAGGTCAAACAGCCAAGGTCTGTGCTGTGGGTCTCAGGCATCCAGCCCCACCGATGATAGATGGTGTATTGGGTTGGCATTAATCAACAGTTCATCTTCCCTGCACTCACAAAGCTGCTTCTCCGTTTTCTGGGTTGTCTGCCGTGTCCTCTTCTGATGCTTGGTTGGGTTGAGTGGTACTAGGGTCCTTCTGACCTAGCAAACCCTCAAACCTACCTCCATTACCTCCAGGAGACTTGGCCACCTCATCTTCTCGTGTGTTGCTTCTCCCCGGGGATTGGGTGGTCGTTGCAAAGGTGCCAGGCTCCTGTTGCGCCAACAACTCCCAGGCTCGCAGGGTGCCCCGGTGACGTTGTAGTGCATGTCATATCGATGTTCACCCCATGCTTGAGGTCCCTTTTCCCATCTGGCCGGGGCCTTTGCAGGCAGCCTGCAGACAGCCTGTTCCTACCGAGGGTCTCAAGATGCCCTGCAAAGAAAAATCTGCAGATGCTGCCTAAATCTTCCCCTCTTTCTCCTGTGGCTGCGAGGGGAAGCTGTTTGTTTGAGATGCAGGACTGGGGCTGCTGTAAATAGCTCTCTGCTTTGGTGAACCTGCTGTGTCAAAGAGGGACAGCCTTGTGGGAGCTGACGAAGGATAAGCCCGTGAGCAAAGATTAGACCAGCCACTGTGGATTATGGCATTTCTACCTGGACTCATCCTTAATTCTACTTGATTTAAACTAACATGCGGCAGCAGTGGCGGTGCCGGGGAGGGAGGACTCATGGTGGCCCTGCCAGGGGATGTTTGGCCCATGAAATCCATGGGGAAGGTTGAAAGGTGTTGGCATACGGGTGAGCGGGCAGAAGGATAGGTGGTATCATGGGCTGGGCTGGTGGAAAACTGGTGGAGAGAGGTCTGTGATGTGCAGGGAGATGGGGAGAGTGGGAGCCCGGCAGAATGGAGCTGCAGAAGAAGCAGGGCTGTGGATTGTGGGAGGGTCGATGGGGGAAAGAGCGTAGTAGCTGGATAGATAAAATTAGTGAACAAACGCGTGGTAGAAACAATGAATTCCTAGAAGGGAAAGGAGTGGGTGGGAGAATTAAGTGCAGACTAAGAGGATTTCCACTACTTGGAGCCCTTGTACGCAGGCACCCGCACCAAAACCATATCCCAATTTACACTCCCTGTCACCTCCCTGCGTGTCTGTGGGAAGTCACCCTTACTCCAGGCTGCGACTGCTTTACATCGCTTTAGGTCAGATGGATAAAAAGGCTCAATGTAAAAGTGTCCTGTTTTAAGTTAATCCTCAGAAATAAAATGAGACCATCTCCCCAGTAAATTCCCCGTGGCTACAGCCCAGGGACGGCAGCGGGACAGGAGCTCGGCAGAGCAGAGGGGTGTCTGTCCCCTGCAGAGCTCTGCTCCTTTGTGCTGGTCCAGAGAGACGGGGCTTGCCCTGATGTGTCTCCTGCTTCCCTCCCTGCCAGGTGTTCTCCATCGTGGTGTTCGGCTCCATTGTCAATGAAGGGTACGTGAACCGCCTGGACGAGACGCAAGAGCACTGCATTTTCAACCGCAATCGCAATGCCTGCAACTATGGCATTACCGTGGGTGTCCTCGCCTTCCTCAGCTGCCTTCTTTACCTGGCTCTGGATGCCTACTTCCCGCAGATCAGCAGCGTCAAGGACCGCAAGAAGGCAGTGCTTTCGGACATCGGAGTCTCGGGTGAGCTTCCTGGCCAGCTGGCCGTAATGTCCCTCTCCTCCACCACCAAGGGAGAGGGAGGGAACTTCTGCCACCTTGCAGGCCAGGTCCCTGCTAGCAGGGAGGTCTTTGGGTTCCTTATTCTCTCAGGCCTTCAATCTCTCTCTCCTTTTCTTTCCTTTCCTTTTCTTCTCGGCCAATCTGGCTGATGCCTCTCCGCTGTTCTCCATAGGCGTAGCTCAGGGAGCTCTTTAGGATCAGCAGGTCTTGCCTCCCTGCATGCTGGTGCTTGCTAAGGCCAAGTGTTGATGCCTCTGGAGATGGTACTTCCTTCTTTTGCACCTCCAGGTGATTGCACCCTATATATTTTAACATAAAAAACCATTGAGGGTTTCATGCAGGCTCACTAAACCAGTCCTCCTACGTTACCTGGCATTCCCTGTGTGAATATCTGTGTAGGGCCTCATCCAGCCCTGAGGCTTATTCTAACTTATAGTCAGATCTCTCCATCCCCAGTAGTGTGTTGAAGTGACAGAGTGATGGTGCATGTGTCCGTGCATGTGTAACGCCAGGCAGCAGCATCAGGAGGAGGCACTTTGCTGTGATGCTGTGATCCCGAGTCGCTCTCCTGGCTTACTCCAGCCATACAGGCAAACTTCTCCACGTCAGGGTCCTCCCACAGTTTGTCGAAGGGGTCACGAGTGGACCAAGGGCAGGATCGGGTGCAGCATCTGAACTTGTTTAGGACTTCTGGCGTGCAAGTTTGTTCTCGGTTAGCCCCCTGGGCTAGCAGTCCTGCAAACAACTAACAAGAGAAGGGCAAGAACTGAGCCCTGCCCTGCTGAGACTTTGGAATGCCCGTTTCCCTCGCTGCCGGGTATCTGGCTGTGCCTGGCGAAGAGGGTGAGTCCCCCTCCTCCTGCCAGGCTGGACTCGGGGCTCCCCCCCTACTTTATCACAGAATCATAGAATTGTTATGGTTGGAAGAGACCTCAAAGATCATCAAGGCCAACCGTATACCCGATGCCACCGTGCCCGCTAAACCCACTAAACCATGTCTTGAAGCGCCACATCTAAATGTTTTTTGAACACCACCAGGGATGGTGACTCCACCACCTCCCTGGGGAGCCCATTCCAATGCCTAACGACTCTTACAGTGAAGTTCTACCTAATGTCCAGCCTGAACCTCCTCTGGAACAACTTGAGATCTTTTCCTCTCGTCCTATCGCTAGTTACTGG